TATAAACATATGATTTACATAAAAGCTCTCTGAAGGAACGATTACGACACTTCAAAGCGTCATGACCACACAACCACCTCGCCAATCCACCCACAAGTACACACACAACCACTCATTCGCGCACAAAACCACACACACAAACGTGCGCGCGGGCAAAGAGAGAAAGAGAGGTCAGGTCGATACAGGTGAAACACAGCCTCTCTGTGTCACACCTGACACGCCACTCCCTCGGCGAAGGGATGGAGAAAAAAAGGTCTCTGTGGCACACACGCCAATGTTTGTCTCAAATATCAACACCAGCTCCTTCCGGCAGTTGGCTGAGTCTCACGGGTTACAGGAGTCTGCTAACTCTACCAGCGTTATTCAGACGGGCCGGGAGGGGGACAAGGGGGGTCGAAACTATTTTATCCGGCAAAAAGAGACGATAAGAGGAAAATGGGAACATAGTAAGTATAGTAAGAGGAGGTACAATAAATATGGGAGATGCCTACAAAATGGCATTCCTAATAAAGAGGGGGAAACGGGGGAACCGAGTCCGACTCCAACACATCCTGACACCCGAATTAGGACTCCTGCCCGGGACGGACATAGAGGGAAAACAACCTCATCACTCCTAGCCAACGGTACCAAGGGTCGTCCATGACAGGTCTGAGCCCGCTGCCAGGCAGAGGAGCACCGGTGTGGTTTCTCCTTGCCCCAGGCCATGCAGCGCTCTGGGTCTCTAGGGCAGTGTATCCGGCGCGCTTCCCGAGATCCAGGGCAAGGTCGGCGCTCTCGGCACCCTTCGTGGTCGTGCTTGGTGGCCGCAGTTTACTCAATCTAGTGTAGTTGTCTGCATCAAGACCTTTCATGGCCGTACTTCATGGGCATTGTTTACCCAAGTCTATTGCAGTTGTTCACGCCACTGACGTCACGACAATGCACCCTCCCCACTTCCAGGTCGTGCTCGAAACAAGGAAGGTATAAACAATTACTCTTAACCAGTTTCCATTTAGAGTTCATCTGACAAGGTCATCGTATACGTGACTAGATGGTGCCTGGTTTTGGATGAGCTCAATGGCTTTAATGTAAAACCTAAATTAAATTCACGAGGCATAATCACTAAACGTGGTATTGGAACTGACACATACGCAACGATGATTAACAGTCTCGATAAAATCAACTGACTCTTCTGACACAATGCAAGCGATCGGAGTCTAGAAGAAATTACAGACAAAAACTAATGTTTTCCGCTTAATAATGGTATACAACACAACACACACACACACACACACAGTAGGCAAAGTGTGGTCACATTCACACATATATTCATGAATATGACAGTTCAAAACCGCAAAAGAATGTACTCCACCTGTAATTTCCCAGTCTGCATCACGTGTATTGACCCGCAACCCAGATACACTGCCAAACATTATAGCGTCTCATTTACACGCTTCTCCAATTGTTGTTTACACTTTATACCGTAATATTATTGGTAAAACATAGAAATAAATGGTTCAGACACACATACAGGTCTATCTACAATGGTTACAAATGGACAAACACACAACATAACACATAACAGTTTATACGCATATATGTGCGCGTATGGATATATACAAGTCATTAATATCCTTACCATTAAAAAAAATAATCGGTAAAATATAGACATAGAACCTAAAATTAAGGGGAAAAAACTTATGTAATAGAAAATCATCACAGTTTGCATATTACCACCTGTTCACTCTAAGAAAAAATATCCATTATAAAATACAATAACACAGTACCATTACACTTTACACACGGTCGCCTGATCATATCAAAAGGCGACAAAGTGCTTTACAGAAGCTACGATGCAAAAGCTGTTAGAGCAAGGCTTAGTAGAAGAGTGCATGTAAAGTACCTATTCAAACGACACCAAATAACGCAGGTCTCTAAGCAAGGAAAAGCCCCTTTAAGCAAAAGA